TCCATGTCCCCCTGTGTCCCTCCCATGTCCCCCTGTGTCCCCATGTCCCTGTGTCCCCATGTCCCTCCCGTGTCCCCTGGTGTCCCCTGTGTCCCCGTGTCCCCCCGGTGTCCCCGCAGTGTCACAGCCCAAGCGCTTCCCGGCCGTGCGGACCCCCAAGGACATCACATCCGAGAGCTCCTTCTCCAGGTGGGGACAGCGACGGTGACACCGCGGGGTGGCCCTGTCCCCAGTGGTGGCCCTGTCCCCAGGGGTGTCCCTGTCCCTGTCCCCAGGGGTGGCCCTGTCCCCACGGGAGTGTCCCTGTCCCCACGGGAGTGTCCCTGTCCCCGGGGGTGGCCCTGTCCCCATGGGAGTGTCCCTGTCCCCAGTGGTGGCCCTGTCCCCAGGGGTGTCCCTGTCCCTGTCCCCAGGGGTGTCCCTGTCCCTGTCCCCAGGGGTGTCCCTGTCCCTGTCCCCAGGGGTGTCCCTGTCCCTGTCCCCAGGGGTGTCCCTGTCCCATGTCCCTGTCCCTGTCCCCAAGGGGTGTCCCCCTGTCCCCAGGGGGTGTCCCCATGTCCCCAGGGGGTGTCCCCATGTCCCCGGGGGGGGGGGCGTCCCCATGTCCCCATGTCCCCCTGTCCCGTGTCCCCGGGGGGTGTCCCCATGTCCCGTGTCCCCGGGGGGTGTCCCCATGTCCCCAAGGGGTGTCCCCCTGTCCCCAGGGGGTGTCCCCATGTCCCCGGGGGGTGTCCCCATGTCCCCAAGGGGTGTCCCCTTGTCCCCATGTCCCTATGTCCCCGGGGGATGTCCCCATGTCCCCGGGGGGTGTCCCCATGTCCCTATGTCGTGTCCCCCTGTCCCCAGGGGGTGTCCCCATGTCCCCGGGGGGTGTCCCCATGTCCCCAAGGGGTGTCCCCATGTCCCTGTCCCTGTCCCGGGGGGTGTCCCCATGTCCCTGTCCCTGTCCCCAAGCGTGGCCCCATGTGCCGTGTCCCATGTTCCCGGGGGTGTCCCCATGTCCCCAAGGGGTGTCCCCACGTCCCCGGGGGGTGTCCCCATGTCCCCATGTCCCGTGTCCCCATGTCCCCGGGGGTGTCCCCCTGTCCCCGGGGGTGTCCCCACGTCCCCGGGGGGTGTCCCCATGTCCCGTGTCCCCTGTCCCCACGCTGTCACTGTCGCTGTCGCTGTCCCCAGGCTGCTGTTCTGCTGCTGGTTCCCGTGGATGCTCCGGGCCGAGATGCAGTCCTAACCCCTCCCCCACCCCTCCCCTCCGGAAAACGGGAAAAGTGGGGAAAAATGGGAAAAAATAGGGAAAAAATGGGGAGAAATGGGGAAAACGGGAAAAGTAGGGGGGAAATCAGAAAAAAATGGGGGGAAAATGGGGGGGAAACGGGAAAAACAGGGGGAAATGGGGAAAAAATGGGGGGAAATGGGAAAAATGGGGGAAAACATCAGAAAAAAATGGGGGGAAAAGGGGGGGGAATGTGCAAAACTAGGGGAAAAATGAGGAAAAATGGGAGGCGGAAATGGGAAAAATGGAAAAAATTGGGGGAAAAATTGAGAAAAATTTGTTTTAAAAGGGTTAAATAATGGAGAAAATGGGGGAATGGGAGAATTGTGGGGAAAATGGGTGGAAATGGGGGAAAATGGGGGGAAATGGGAAAAATTGGGGGAAATTGAGGGGAAATGGGAAAAAATGGGGAAAAGAGGAAAAATTGGAGGGAAATGGGGAAAATCATGGAGAAAATCATGGGGAAAATGGGAAAAAATAAATTTTTGGGGCCAAAAAAAAGGATTTGGGATGGAGAAAATGGGATTTTGGGGGGGTGGGACATCGACATAACCTAAAACTGAGGAGGGGACCCCAAAATTGGAGAGGGGGGATGGAAGGAGGAATTGAGGAGGGGG